TACTTTAAAGACAATTTCTATTCATGCTGTTGCTAATGTCCCTTAGACAAAAGCAAGCGCAGTTTACTTCTCTAATTTGTGTTTTTACCAGATCTAATCCTAATCAATGTAATTACTTCACACAGTACAAAATCAACAAATAAATAAATGTCAAGACAGGCCAATTAAGTCCATGACAATATAGAATTCAAATGAACATTTCTGGTCTCAAAAAATACTGATTCAACTAAAGATTCAAGTGATAGACAATTAAAAATATGTGTTTACATTGGAGTAAACTTTTAAAATGCTTTTTTTCTCATGTTCTGCTTTTTCATGTATCTATATGTAAATGTGAATGTGTGTGTGTGTGTAGATGTATGTGTGTGTAGATGTATGTGTGTGTAGATGTATGTGTGTGTGAATTTTGTCTCCAGACTCCTCGGACCACCTGTAGGTCTCAAAGGTCACACTGTGGTGATGTAAACCAACTGGACACACTTCCAGATTGCAAAACAACTCACCCACCACTGCCTACAGAAAACCCCACTTTGTGGCCCCGGTCTCACTGCCACCTACGACCATCGGTCTGTAGTGGGGGAGGGGCACACGGAGGTAGCTATGTCGCCTTTACGATCTGCGGCTGGTTGGATGGTGTCTACTCTGGGCTCCACTGTTCTGATCCCTCAGTGTCCAGTCCAGTAGTCCAGTGACCCTGTACAGTGTGTGTCCTTGGTTCTGGAAAACAGCCTTATAGTCAAATTAAAACAGTATCAGTATGTGAATGAGACTGTTTTTCTCTCTAAGTCTAAACAATTTTGGAGCGCTCTTGGCTTTCCAAGAGCTTATGTAAATATAGATTACTTATTATCTTACTACTGATAACATTTGAAGACCAGAAACTCTCTTGATAAAAAACAAGACTCAAATCTCAAAAAACCTTTAAACTTTAAAATATGTAATATGTACTTTTGTACTGTGTTTAAATATCTTGAACATTTATCTCAGCATATATTCTACTAATTTAAAATAATTGCAGCATTTTTCAAATGAAGTCAATATGAAATGGAGCACATTTTAGAGCCAGTCTCCTCTGCTGTGTGCATCAGCAGGAGGAGCAACAAGGTCAGGCGTGTAGTCAAAACAAAAACAAAAGTCACCACTTGAATGTGAATTGGGTGAAGTTTAACTTAATAATATAATACTTTTACAGCTAATCCTAATTCCCTCTTTCTTTTTAGACAAAGTCTATAATCAATAATAACTTTTAACACAGATTCCAATTTAAATGTTTGAAAAACGGCTTTTGTAACTAAAATAAAAACATAAAAACAAACACAACTCCCAAACAGTTAAGAAATAAGCAGCAGATTTAAAAGAATGGAATCTAGAAATATGTTAGATCTTAAAAAGAATTGCACAGCTTTAGCACTAATATTTGGGTTTCAAAAACATACTAATTCAAAACTTCTTTTTACTAAATGGTGTTTAAAAACGTTTAACTGTGTCATAACACAATGTTCAAATGGCAAATTTTGCAAATTTAACGGAAAAACAACTATGAAAAGCCAAAATCCTACAAGCAGTAGGTCCCCTTTAAATCAGAGCAGAAGAGCAGAGAGAAAGCAGAGCCGCGGGGGTGGGGGCGGTTACCCTGGCAACGCAGCATGAGAGAGAGACGCACACACACAGACATACAGCAGTAAGAATTCCTTATCAGAATAACTTTCAAGATTACTTTTAAGTGTTATATAACATAAAACCAATCTAAAATTCCTATAATTCACAAGAAGTTATACTAAAGCCAAATATACCAAATATATGCAATTTACACTCAATTTCAAGAATATGTCTGATGTTTTTCTTTATACTTTTGTCATCTAAAGCCTAGAAGTGATCAATTTCCACACTTGTAACAAAAGGCACTCTTAGTGTTTAATTTCCCTTACGCTTCTATTTTATCGAGGTAGCGAACTAATTTAAACTCAAAATCTCTTTCTAAAAAACAAAAACAACTGTTGGATACAAACTAAAAAAACAAAAAAAAAAACTCCCTTTTTCTCTCTGTAATTTAAACCGTGATCACTGAAAATATTGTTGCTTCTTTACTTTTGTCATTTATCAGCCTGAAATTCGTCAATTTCAAAGCTTTTGTAACAAAGGCCTCTTTAACACGTTTCCCTTTTTTTAAATTGCTTTTACTTTTATACCATGGTTTCACTAAGGATCCTACACTTTATCTTCTTCTCAAAGGGATTCTAACCCCGAGACTTCTTCAAATACAATTTAGAGAGTTTGACAGACCCCAAAAAACAGACCAAAATTTAGCTAATATCCAATTATACAGACTTTACATATAAAAAGGTGTCTGCTTACCTTTATTCTTGTCAAACTGGTTCCAAGGACTGTCCGAGAGGTCTGCCAACCTCTTTTCCGCGTCTGAATATTCAATTTAAAAAACAAAAGTGACAGTTCTTCCAGGAACAGTTCTCCCAGCCTGCTGGAATCTCCTGTTCCCAGACACAGCATGTCTCTCATGCAGGGGAAAAGAAAGATAACACACACAGGACTTATTTGGGTAATGGTTAATGGTTAACTTTATCGCCGCTCCTGCACACAGGACCACTTATTCTGTTAATGATTAACTTTATCGCCGCTGCCTGCTTTTTATCTGAAAACAGGGCAGAAGCCACCTTTGTAAGTCCATCTAAAGCGGTGAGAACTATTTAACTTGAAAAATTTACAAATATTTTACAAAGGAATAAGTATACAAACCTTTTTACCACTTAAACCTACTACTCCTACTACCACTTTTTATGTACATACATATAAATGTAATTATCGAATTTCTTACGCTAATTACTTAGACTATTTATCAAAAATAACCAGTTCTTTGAATTAACACGTTTTTTGTTTCTTCTGACGCTGAAAAAATCTCTAAAAAACAGCGCATACTACAATCGTTTTTTAAATTCTACTTCTGCCAAAAAAACCTCAAAAAACGGCTTCTATCTACTTTTACATTCTTCTCACGCCGAAAAAGCTTTATAAAACGGCGGCGATCCTTTTATAAAAAATGCGCATATATATATTTACATTTAAACAGGACATAAAAGAGCCAGCAGCCAACCATATTGACATTTTTTGATGTAAGACCAATTTAACAGATTTTTAAAACGGCATCTGTAAATTCCTTTGAGTAGATCTACTTTGTACCTTTGTGGTGGAGTTGCCTCTTTTACGGAGACCTCTGCAAAGCCAGAGAAGATGAAACGCTGCTCTGGAGCAAAAAATGTGTTTGAAAAAAAATAAAAATTGTCTTTTGTCTTGGGTTTTTTGTATCACGTCGGAAGGTCACCAAATTGTGAATTTACCCAGACGTAAGACAAAACGAGACTTCGACAAAACTGCGTATTTCAAAATAAAGTCTTTATTGTCAGAAGGTTTGAGCATATTCTGATCAAGCATAACGCAGCCTCCCATCCTGTCTGGCCTCAGAAGTCTAAAGTATTGACAAAGGCTAACTGCTTATATACACTGTAAATGATTATGTAAGCATAGATTCTGAGAAGCATGACTATGCAGAAGTAAACGTATGGTTTCAACGTACAACTGTGATATAACTGTTTTGTAATGGAGCAAACTCCAACGTACACCATCCATACTGCACATGTTTACTGTTTGTTCTGTCTTATCTGTTTCCATGCTTCTGTAAGCAGTTCAAAGTACAAGTGAACTCTTATTGAACTGTTTAACATGACATTTTAGCAGGCAGAAAATTATTAAATATTCACAAATCTCACAAATAAGGCTAAAAGGTTAAAAGAGTTGCACACTATTATGTACAAAACGGATGAAAATATGTTTATACCTTGTTCAGATGACAGTGAAACCTCCTACAGATTCAGCCCAGACTGCTGTCTGCTGCTGTGAGATGCCCTTCTCCTACGTCATCGCTGCCATTTTGGCTCCCCCTAGCGTTTCTATGCGGAAGTGAAAAGGTGCCACTTCAAAGCAGTTTTTTTAACATAATTAATCTGAACTGTCAAAATGAACACCCGAAATATTATAAACACATATTGTAGTTATATATTCTGGATAGCAGCATATTAAATTCTAGTACTACTTTAAATTCGGAAATTAGTACTAATGAATTGGCGACAGCTGTTAGAAGCATGAAGGGGTCCAAAACACCAGGGCCAGACGGAATTCCCATTGAAATCTATAAATCTTTTCACAACTTGTTAATGCAGCCCATGCTTGATATGTACAAAGAGTCTTTAAATAACGGAACTCTGCCTCCCTCGCTGAACACAGCCATCATTACATTACTGTTAAAACCGGGTAAGTCCGCTTCTTTGTGTGGATCTTATAGACCAATATCCCTCTTAAACAATGACCTAAAAATTCTCTGCAAAGCTTTAGCCAGGCGTTTAGAGAAACTGATACCACAAATGGTACATACTGATCAAAATGGCTTTGTTCAGGGACGGCAGGGTTTCCACAACATTCGACGGGTACTGAATGTTATATTTGAGAATTCTGGCTGCAAAGACACTGCGATTTTGTTGTTGGATGCCGAGAAGGCTTTTGATAAGGTTGATTGGCACTTCTTGTTTGAAGTTCTCCAACGATTTGGTATAAAAAAGTCATTCTTGGACTGGGTTAAATTACTTTATGCAGACCCCCAGGCTATCGTACTTACAAACGGGCATGTATCTACTCCTTTTAATTTGTATAGAGGCACAAGACAGGGCTGCCCCCTGTCTCCGTTACTGTTCACATTAGCAATCGAGCCTCTTGCAATTGCGATCCGTAATAGCACATGCCTAATGGGAATTTCAATAGGAGATAGCGAGCATCGCATTGGGTTGTATGCTGATGACGTTGTATTGTTCTGCTCTAACCTTAAAACATCAATACCTGCTTTGCTAAAATTAGTAGAATATTTTGGTAGTTTGTCAGGGTATAAGATAAGCAACTCAAAATCTGTTATATTATTCTTGGACAAATTCGAACGAATGAATCCTCCACTCCATGTTCCCTTTGAGGTCTGCGTCAGTGGCTTCACCTACCTCGGTGTTAAAATTACTCCTACCATTGATGAAGTTGTCTCTAAAAACTACAATGACCTTGATGAAAAGGTTATACAATCAATAAATACAATTTACCCATCTCGATGATTGGCCGTATAAATATACTAAAAATGAACATATTGCCCAAATATTTATATTTATTTCAATGTATTCCTCTTGCTCCCCCACCATCCTTTTTCAGAATAATTACCAGACTCTTTTCTGCTTTTATATGGAACAAAAAACGCCCGAGGATTAGACTCACTCTACTGTATTTACCTTATGACAGAGGTGGTTTGAAATTGCCTAACCTTGAATGGTATTACTGGGCAGCACAAATAAGAGCATGTATGTTTTATTTTCAAAGAGACCACCGAGAGGAGAGAGCAGCGAGAGGTGCGAGAAAAGAGAGTGGCGAGAGGAGCGAGAAAAGAGCGAAGAGAGGAGCGTGAAAAGGGAGGAGCGAGAAAAGGGAGGAGCGAGAAAAGGGAGGTGCGAGAAAAGGGAGGAGCGAGAAAAGAGAGGAGCGAGAAAAGAGAGGGGCGAGAGTAGCGATAAAAGTGCGTAGAGAGGAGCGAGAAAAGAGAGTGGCGAGAAGAGCGAGAAAAGGGAGGAGCAAGAAAAGGGAGGTGCGAGAAAAGGGAGGAGGGAGAAAAGGGAGGGGCGAGAGGAACGAGAAAAGGGAGGAGCAAGGAAAGGGAGGAGTGAGAAAAGAGAGGAGCGAGAAAAGAGAGGAGCGAGAAAAGAGGAGAGCGAGGAGAGAGAAAAGAGAGGAGAGAGAAAAGAGAGGTGCGAGAGGAGCGACAAAAGAGAGGTGCGAGAAAAGAGGAGAGAGAAAAGAGAGGAGAGAGAGGAGCGAGAAAAGAGAGGAGAGGAGCGAGAAAAGAGAGGAGCGATAAAAGAGCGTAGAGAGGAGCGAGAAAAGAGACTGGCGAGAGGAGAGAGAAAAGGGAGGTGCAAGAAAAGGGAGGAGCGAGAAAAGGGACGTGCGAGAGAAGAGAAGATCGAGAAAAGAGAGGAGCGATAAAAGAGAGGGGCGAGAATAGAGAGGAGCGAAAAAAGTGCGTAGAGAGGTGCAAGAAAAGAGAGTGGCGAGAGGAGCGAGAAAAGGGAGTGGAGAGAGGAGCGAGAAAAGAGAGGAGAGAGGTGCGAGAAAAGGGAGGAGCGAGAAAAGGGAGGAGCGAGAAAAGAGAGTAGCGAGAGGAGCGATAAAAGAGCATAGAGAGGTGAGAGAAAATAGAGTGGCGAGAGGAGCGAGAAAAGGGAGTGGAGAGAGGAGCGAGAAAAGAGCGTAGAGAGGTGCGAGAAAAGAGAGTGGCGAGAAAAGAGAGGAGCGAGAAAAGAGAGGAGCGATAAAAGAGAGGAGCGAGAAAAGAGAGGAGCGAGAGGAGCGATAAAAGAGCGTAGAGAGGAGCGAGAAAAGAGAGTGGCGAGAGGAGCGAGAAAAGAGCGGAGAGAGGAGCGAGAAAAGGGAGGTGCGAGAAAAGGGAGGAGCGAGAAAAGAGCGAGAAAAGAGAGGAGCGAGAAAAGAGAGTGGCGAGAGGCGCGAGAAAAGAGCGGAGAAAGGAGCGAGAAAAGGGAGCTGCGAGAAAAGGGAGGAGTGAGAAAAGGGAGGAGCGAGAAAAGAGAGGTGCGAGAAAAGAGGAGCGAGAAAAGAGAGTGGCGAGAGGAGCGAGAAAAGAGTGAAGAGAGGAGCGAGAAAAGGGAGGAGCGAGAAAAGGGAGGAGCGAGAGGAGCGAGAAAAGAGAGGAGAGAGAAAAGAGAGGTGCGAGAAAAGAGAGGAGCGATAAAAGAGAGGAGTGATAAAAGAGAGGGGCGAGAATAGAGAGGAGCGAAAAAAGAGCGTAGAGAGGTGCGAGAGAGGAGCGAGAAAAGGGAGTGGAGAGAGGAGCGAGAAAAGAGCGGAGAGAGGTGCGAGAAAAGGGAAGAGCGAGAAAAGGGAGGAGCGAGAAAAGAGAGGTGCGAGAGGAGCAAGAAAAGAGAGGAGCGAGAAAAGGGAGGAGCGAGAAAAGAGAGGAGCGAGAGGAGCGATAAAAGAGCATAGAGAGGTGCGAGAAAATAGAATGGCGAGAAGAGCGAGAAAAGGGAGTGGAGAGAGGAGCGAGAAAAGAGCGTAGAGAGGTGCGAGAAAAGAGAGGGCGAGAAAAGAGAGGAGCGAGAGGAGCGATAAAAGAGAGGAGCGAGAAAAGAGAGGAGCGAGAGGAGCGATAAAAGAGCGTAGAGAGGAGCGAGAAAAGAGAGTGGCGAGAGGGGCGAGAAAAGAGCGGAGAGAGGAGCGAGAAAAGGGAGGTGCTTGACTCGCACTCTACTCCCCGGAGTGGGTGCCGAGCAGCCCCGCGCTCATGTTCCCAGCTTGCTAGGGATAACACCTGCTCCCAGCTGCAGCGCCTGGAGAACATGACGCAACCCTGCTGCCCCGCTTTCATGTTCTCAGCGCGCTCAGGCCCCGCATCTCTGCCCAAACTAATGCGGGCCCCCAGCAGACGCAGCCTGGCTGAGCGACCGTGCGAGAAGCCTCGCACTCATGCTCTCAGGCCTGCGCAGTGCGTCCTGCTATCCCATCGCAGGCCCTCATCTTTGGGGGATTATGCGCGCGAGCAAGCGCCGCGCTCAACAGCATCGCTCCCGGGCCTAGGGCGCCAAACATGCTTAATCAAATAAAACTTCTAACTGCATTCCCCCTCGTGGGTCTCTCCAAGGTGAAATGGAGCTTTCACGCAAGTTCACCATGGTAGACCCGGCTGCTGCTGCCCAGCTCTACAGGCCTGCTCTCATCCTCGGCTCATCATACCAGCAACGCCCACATCCAGTCAACCAATAACCGCCAGGACAGCAAGTTAAAAGCCGGAGACGCCCACTTCCCGGCCTTCTCAAGTCTGCAAGCCTCCGCCGCCCCACCTCCTCCTTCTCTCATTGAAGCGTGCTTGCCTGCTGCCTCTGCCGCCACCAGTGCCTAGGCCCCGGGGGGGATTATGCGCGCGAGCAAGCGCCGCGCTCAACAGCATCGCTCCCGGGCCTAGGGCGCCAAACATGCTTAATCAAATAAAACTTCTAACTGCATTCCCCCTCGTGGCAGTGGCTGATAGTGGCTGATAGGGATGGCTCCTCATGACTTATGTCTCCACTCTATGAAGGCAGCATCAGTGCCTCTATGAAGGCAGCATCAGTGGGTCTGACATGGGTCTGACATGGATCTATTATATTAACTGGATAGGGTATTACTAGCTTGTAGCTGAATAACTCATGTGCTCGGAGGATTCTCGCGGTACTGCAGACTGAACCAGACTAAATTCACGTGGGCTATCCAGAAATTTTCCCCATAGAATTCAATGCATATTAAAACAGCTCAACCTCAGCTGACAGAGAACCTACAGCTTTAATAAAGGTCGGATTTTGTGGGGATTTTAATGTCCCTTGTCATCCTGAACTTTTTTTCTTCTTAAATCCTTCGGTTTTGTTTAAAGGACAACTCACCCTCAAATCCACGTTTTTTTGCTGATAAACTGTATAAATGAGTGTCCTATAGTGTTGTGTACATATCCTGGTCATAATATTGTCACTTTGGTGCAAATTAGTAGAAAGATCCACTTTCTGCCTAAAACCGTCTGTGAGGCGCCATCTCATGGCGACCTGTGTTACTACATTTGAATTTTGAATCTGGCGCCAATATTGGCGCACAAGTTGGACCTGACGTCAGCAAGTTGGACCTGACGACAGCAGCCCCCCGCCCTGAGGTATATAAACGGCCCAGTCTCGGTCACGCCCCCGTAGCGAGTTGGAGAAGGAATAGCAGAGTATTTTCATCGATTGTCAGGTTTGCGATTAGTTATAGCATTTAGAGAGATTTTCATTAGCATAGCTGTTTGTATTATAGATAATTGTGTCGTGTAAATTGCGTTGTTGTTTAATATTGTAGTTTTAGTCATTAGTTAGTTGCTTTTATTGTTGGATTAGTTAGCTGAATTTAGCTTAGGACTTTTTTTAGTATTAATTTTTATAGTTCTGTATCTTGTGAAATTCTATTGTATATTTAATAGTTACCTAATGTAACTTCTACGAATAGGTGCGTAGTCCCTTAGGACTTCGCTAGTGGGATATCACTCGTGACCCCCAGGTCACACGCCAGAGAGATCAAAATAATTTTCTCCAATCACCAGCCACCGTCCTCTATAAATGCCCCTGCACAAGGCCGCACCCCCTCTTGAACTCTGCCAAGCCGGGCTGGCCTGATGGGCTCGTAGCTAAGGGACTACGCACCTATTCGTAGAACTTAAGTTACATTAGGTAACTATTAATTCTACGTCATGGTGCTACGTCCCTTAGGACTTCGCTAGTGGGACACAACGCGGAGGCCGTAGGAACATGTACTCCCAGCAGGCCAGCGAAGGGTGATTGGAGCTCCGCCCGAGCAAGACCCTCACACAGTGAGAGGACTCAGGGCAGAAGAAACAATGCGTGTTACAGGGCCACTCCTACCAAGGATACCCCCACGTAACACAGACCGTAGGTCATCCGTAGTCACAGGACGCCTCTCCCAAGAGCTCCTGACGTGGACTACCTGACCGACCAAACACACATATATGTACCGCACCTGTAGGATGCCTCTCCCAAGAGCTCCTGAACCAGGGCGGAAAGTAAACCGAAGGCCCCCTCAGAGGAGGGACCTAACGGTCTAACTCAGTCCGCTGCACTCAGCACGGAATGGGCCACCGACCGGTCCGACACATCCAAAAGATAAGACCGGACGAAAGAGGAGGACGACGCCCAAGAAGCCGCACGGCAGACGTCCTCGACCGACGCCCCCCTGAGAAGGGCCGTAGAGGCCGCCATCCCACGCGTGGAATGCGACCTGAAGCCCACCGGGGGTGCCAGACCCTGCGTCTGATAGGCCCGCCGCACAGCCGTGGCGACCCAGTGCGCCAGCCGCTGAGCCGACAGCGGGGCGCCCCTGTTCTTGGGGCCAAGACACACAAACAGCTGACCACCCAACCTGAATGACGACGTCATGGCCAGGTAATGCCTCAGCATTCTGACAGGACACAGAAGGTGCCGCCGCTCCTCCTCGGGGGAGGCATGCGGTGGCGGATAGAAAGCCCTAATCCTGATGACTCTCGACCTAAAGGCCGACGTGATGACCTTGGGGAGAAAAGCCGGATTGGCCACAATTCCACCATGCCGTCGCCCTCTCCAAAGGACAGGCAAGACGCATGGACAGAGAGCGCACACAAGTCGCCCGCCCTCTTAGCAGACGCCAACGCCAACAAGAGGGCAGTCTTAAAAGCGACACACTCGGGACTCGCCTCCGCCGCCGGTTCAAAAGGCGGACCCGACAGTCCCCTAAGGACCACCCTGAGGTCCCAAACCGGGGGCGTTCTCTGGAGCGGGGGCCTCCTCCTGCGAGCCCCCCGCAGAAAACGTTTAACCAACGGATGAGAGCGGGCTGTGAACCCCCCGAATCCGTCGTGGCCCGAAGTAATGGCTGCCGCGAACACTGCCAAGGTGGCGACAGCCCTCCCCTTGTCAAAGAGCTCCTGTAGGAATCCCAGGACCCCCTCCAGCGGGCAACGCCTGGGATCCCAGGAACGGGAACCGCACCAGACGCTGAAGAGCCTCCACCTTGTGGCGTAGGCCCTCACAGTGGACGGCGCCCTCGCCCCCTGAATGGTCTCCACCACCGCAGGGGGAAGACCCAGGTCTACGAGGTTCCGCCTCTCAGCCTCCAACCCCAGAGCCTGCGGCCGATTATCGGGCGTGAAAACAGGGCTCCTCCCCCCTGGACTAGAGCCCCCGGCTCGTCCGGGAGGGCCCAGGGCTCCATCACCGCCATGCCCCTCAGGAAGGGTGTTAACGCTGGTTCAGCCACGGTTTCTCCTTCGATGATAAATGGACACTACAACTTCTGCTTAGATATATAAAAAAGGTTTAATATATAAAAGACAGAATACAGGATACAGGATACAGGATACAGACAAATGTAGCAGACTGGTTCTCCAATCTGGGCCCTCTCCCTGGCAAGCCAAAGCAAAAGACGCTGCTTCAGGAACAGGCTATCGGTGATAAGCACACAGTCACATGACCATGATAATTGAAGACATATGTCCCAACATCCTTAGGTGAAGACAATACCTTCTATGTTCAGGACAAACACATAGCCCCTTTCAGAGTAAGCCTGAGGCTACTAAAAAACAGATGTTCTCTGCGTTCTTCTTAATTTAACTTCCTGTGCTTAATGGCTGGGGGATGATTCACACATTCTTCACTCTGCAGACTACTAGTTTAGATCCTAGACTAGTGCCCTCCTGCCTTTTCAGATCAGGAGACCACTGTGGTGTTGTCTGAGCCACCATCACGTGTCTCCGCCGCAGCGAGGAGCAAAGTGCAGCAGTACCCTGTGCACTGCCTCCATCTCCAGCAGGTTGATGTGACGTGCTGATCCAACAGCACCTCCTACAGAAACTTCTGGCCGAGGACCCACGCCCCATCCTTCGAGAGACGCGTCCGTGAACATCTCCACTTGAGACACGGCGCCGGCCAGAGTCACTCCTCCCTTAGACGACCCGGAGTGAGCCAAACCTGAGTTCGATGCTGCTACTTGGGAACCCAGATTCAGCCTCCCCCCGTCCCGGAGGGTGAAGCCCTGGGCGTGAGAACCACCTCTGAAAATTCCTCATGTGAGAAGGCCTAGCCGCACCACAGCATAGCCGCCGCCATCATTCCCCAGCAGGGACCTTAGGCGCCGAGCGGTGGACTCAGGGTCCCTGCCAGAACCTCCCCGGGCAGACGGGTAGTGTTCATCCGTCGTCCACGACCCATGCAGCACGGAAT